AGGTATATTGCTGCCCTCCGTGCACTCAGAGAAGTGGTAGCGAAGTCGGGGCGTAACCCCCAGGAGTACGCGTTGCACTCGTTGCGAATTGGAGGCTCGACGGCTCTTGCATCGGGCGGAGACATCGCAGAACGAGTGATTCAGAGAGAAGGGAAGTGGAGGTCGGATGCATACAAGCCGTACGCGTGAAACAATGTAGAGGATTCGCGGCGAGTGTCACGGAAACTTACAGACGGCAGTAGGATCGTACCGAGACAGCCGGGGGAGGGGACCGTCTGGGGGAACGGATAGTTGACTTATTCGGTAGTCGTCCAGAAACTGACCTCGATGTGGGTGTTGTAGAATGGGGTGTACCATTTGAGGACTTGGTCAGTTTTGGGACTCCTGCGTTTGCAGTCGTAGTCCCCCGGCTAGTATTTGTGGGGAGAGAGATGGATTTGTAAGAGTTGATGCCGGCCTTTGCAGCTAACGCGGCCGGAGAGACGATGAGCGTTTCGTGCGTCTCTCTCCCCAACACGTAGCCTAGAAACCGAAGAAATAATGAAGCAATTCGAAAGAAAACAAAATAAACAAGACCCTTTAGTTCTCGCAATGTGGGAAAATGCGTGGTGTGAGTCACTCCATTGACGTCGACAGCTTTCGGCTTTGGGTCGTTGACTGTCGATACATCGATGATGCTTCCCTTCACATAAGACCGTATCCCTGCTGTCACGCACGAGGGCGAGCTCACCGCTATTTATCAATGTGCTGTCACCGGGCAACGCTCAGTCTTCATTCCGCTTGTGGCCAGTACTGTGGACGGAGAACGTGATACGTGTACCATGAATTCGGACATACTTCTCACTCATTGCCTAGTGCCCTTATCGAGGCCGAATCTCGGATGCCGCCATCTCTGTAGGGTACGAGCGGATTGCCTGTGGCGCGCTTCGAAGAACGGACAGGGCCACCGATCATATAATCGGAATTTGTGACCTTCTCTTAACATGATTCACTGCTTTGTGCTCCACCTTTCAAACAGACGAACAGCTGGTCGGGCCACGAGTGTGATTGTTATGGGATTTGAATGTAGCCAGTGCCAGCGGTATTGCGGAGTAATTCCCAGAGGAAAGTGCGGGAGATGTAACTCCCGATGGAAGGATAAAACAGGGGACAGGACCTTTGTGACCCCTTTTAGAGGGAGCATGTCCTCCCCCTCTGTGCTCAGTCTACCTTTGAGAGCAAAGCAACAGCAAGCACTGCTGTTCCAAGAGATTAATAAACAAGTGAGTCTTCATCAGGGTCTTCAGGGACCGCTACGCGTGTAATCCCACAACATTTGGCGTCGTCTGCAGGACAGGACGTCAGAAGTGGTCAATTCTGATGCGTCTTCTGATACGTGTGATTCGTCTGTGCTCGCTGCCGCCGTTGGTCCGCCAGCCGCCGCAGCACCGGTAGCGGTTTCGTCAGGTTCCGACCGACGATTCTCGCCCGGTGGGGCTAAGCAGACCCCACCAATTGCCAACGAGAACGATCGTGCAGAGGTGCAAACCAGGAACATCCCGCGATCGACGTTGAGAGTGTTGACAGCACCGTCTCCAGAGGACGCTTCAGAGACGCCCGCCGTAAATACGGTATGCTCGCGATCCTTGTCACGGAGGACCGGCCAGGAGCACCTTGCACCGTCCAAAGTTGTATTGACAGACAAAGCACTGGTGTCCGCTCCTAGCGAAAGCGATCTATATGCCC